TTCTTTGCTTTTTCACAGATTAGTAATCATTGTGGACATAAGTATGTCAGCATGATGATATTTAAAGAATTAGTTACTTCTATTCAAATTTTCTCAATCTCCTCCCAATGCAGGGGCACATGGAAAGATTACTATCATTGGACAGGAAGTCTAGATCAATTAAATTAAATATAGCACATTGCAGAATCTCTGGATGGTGGTATTCAAAGCTTTGAACCCAAAGACAGATTATTTGTCTTATTTTGTGTTATCGTGTAACTGAATTTTCTGCTTTAGAAAAAAATCATTATTAAGCAAGATAGAAATGAGATTGGAATGAATTCGTGTGAATCATTTTGACCACAATCATAATTTCTACTTTTAGCAATTCATAGCATTATCAACATATAATCCTTCTTATTTCCACACATATTATTTAACGAAATACTAATCAAGTTGGAAATTCTTTTCTGTTTCTATCAAACAAATGTATGCTCTCGATTCTGACATTCTCAGAACACTATGGCTCACACTGCATGACTATCTGAAGATAAATATGTATCTAAGCTGCAGTAGACTAAAAATAATTATGGCTCAAAAGTAGTTTGTATCCCCATGGAGAATGTATACCTCACAGGAAAAATAATTGCAGAACTGAATGATGCCAAGTAGAACAAAATGAGGCAACCATAGAATCTTAGAGAATTTTCAGAGTAAGGAATTTGACTTATTTTGGACTTTCATGGTGTTTGAGTGTGTCAGGGTCTCATGATAGTGACCAACTAGCCTAGAAGAAGGCAAAACTTTGGGCAGTCTGGTGATGCTTGGAGTCCTGGACTCTTTAAGAATCAGGTAACAGTTACAAAGTTCATTCCAGAACAAATTTCCTCCACCCAAAATTTCACATACAATTTTGAGGGTTCATGGACTCCCTGAAACTCATTTTTAGACCCAAGCACACATAAACCATTTTTATCAGAATACAAAAACTAAACACCCCCTACTTAAATTTCAAAATACAATATTTAGCTTTTTACAGGCACAGCTTTAGGAATTTGAAAGAACTGAGTTCATTGTGTCTTAAAATACATTTCTAGTTCAGTCTAGTAGGACTAAGAACATGTTGAAGGGGGGCACCTGAGTGGCTCAGTCAGTTAAGCATCTGATTCTTAATATTGGCTCAGGTCATGATCTCACAGTTTGTGGGATTGAACCTCATGTCATGTTCTGTTCTGACAACGCAGTGCCTGCTTGTGATTCTTTCTCTCCCTCTCTCTCTGCCCATCCCTAGGTCTCTCTCTCTCTCTCTCTGTCTCGAAAAAAAAAAAAAAGCTTAAAAAAGAACATGTGAGGGAGTAAGAAATGTGCAACATGAATGGATTCTTTAATGTGCTGCACATAGTAGGTACAATGAACCCTGTATAAAGTAACAAAAAAACAGTCTCAGAATTCTCCCTAAGGTACCAGTTAAATTCCAATGTCATCAAAGTAATTTTAGGTGGATACCTATTAAAATAATTCTCCTTTATTTTGTTGTAAAACAAACAGCTTCACTACCATACAGTTTTTAGGCTTATAAACAGGATTTTCTTCACATGTAAATTCATTACAATAGACAAAATAAAGTGCCTGTCTACTTTCCTTCTATTTCTTACCTTTATAACATCAGTGAAATGTTTTCCAAAATAAATAATATATTGTGTTCTGGGTGTATTCAAATAGCTCTATGAACAATGTTCCTTACAGTTCGCGTTTTAAGGGATATTTTAATTTTGTCTTTTGATTTTTATAATCTCTAAGGAACTCTTTTCTAAAATCAGTGTTCTCACTGGAGATGATCCAACCCATCGACTCAAATGACTAGAAAAACACTATTGGTCCTAACACTGAGCGAAACTACGTGGAAAATTTGTAATGATTTGTAAACATTTTCACACTTATTATGATTCAGATATGGACTGTGGCCCAGAAGAGATTTGGATTTATTTTGATAGTCCCTGTAATTAGCTCAGCAATGCTTTCCTAAGTTATGATTTCATGCTGACTATTAGAAATTGCACATTGTTGAGATGCCACATGCAAAGAAGGTATGGTGTTATATGGCAACAATTAAAAACACTGTAAAGTAAAGTAAACAGGATTTCAAACCAAGAAAACATAAAGTAAATGTGGCATTAAATAGAATAGAGAAGGAAAATAGCTAGACTTCAGTGTTAGATACCATTCTCAGCACAAGCCCCCATGTGCTTTGAAACAAGCAGAGCAACACTAGAGTACCAATAAGGCAAGAGGATAGTGTACTTTACTCTTGCAAAGGACACATGTCTTGGCCTAAATGCTACACCACCAATGTCTTTTCTTCTAGAAGGCATGAGAGACAGGGTTGACTATATTATTTTGGCAGGCCCAGTATAAAATGAAGATGCAGGATTTCTTGATCAATGTGCATCTGAACAAAAATTCAAGATGGCAACAGAGGTGCATTCCACCAGGCACAGATTCTGGGCCACTGCTGGTCCTGGTGACAGAGGTAGGCAGTTGGAGAGACGCATTCTGAATCCTGCCTGTCTCAGTGCTGGCTCCTCCTGGGCTCTGAGGAGATGTTCAGACCAAGCCCAGGGGAATGGCCAGTGCTCCGTTTGGTGCAAGTTTTGAAGGTGATTGAGATGACAAGGGGCTGCTCCTTCCCGAAATCTATTCTCTAGATGGGTTGTGAGGATTAATGAGTTAATATCAGAAATTGCTAGAGGGCAAATCTTCACTTGCCTAAAAGAGCATAAAATTTTTATTTTGTCTTTTATGCTTTCTGACAATCCCTTCAGTCTGCCACTAGGCTTTTAGTGGAGCGTGTGGAGAATTTAGGACAAGATGATGAATCTTACTCAAGGGCATCTCGATAGCTTTGCAAACTTAATGCAATAATGTAGGTCTTGGGCCCTGTGTCATGGAGTAAACGAAGACAGCAAAAATTCAGATAAAAGAGACTATAGCTCATCTATTGTTATTATTTAGGAGACAAATGACAGCAATGAATTTTTTTTTAATCTTAAAATCCTCTTTATCATGGCACGTCTACCTAATTTTATTTTGAATGACTACAAAGCTATAAAGATACCCGATGGACTATTGAAAGCCATATTTTCTTTCAAATAGTGCTTAAAGAATACACTTTGGCCCCTTAAAAAAAAAAAAAAAAGAAGTAGAAGAAGAAGCCAGGTTGTACATCTGGAAACTGGGTAAAGCCCCAAATGAAAGCTGTGGCAAAGGCTGGGAAGGAAACAGAGTTGCAGCCTCCTTTGATGTTGCACCCACTCGAAAGCCAGGAGGCAGGCTCCTGCCCTGCCGCCACAGCCCGGATGGGCCTGTGGTCTTTGGAGCCACTTGAAGGCATCTACTCTCTGGAGTCTCCAGAAGAAAGGTGCCAATGAGGCATTTAACACTTGTATCCAACACCTGAGTGGAAAAAGAAAGGCTGACTATAAGCAGGAAAAAGCCAGAAGGACCAAGGGGAGAAAGGAGAGAGGGACAGGAGGCCAGAGTGCCCCAAACCTTTTGGGGACGATAACCACCTGCAATGTTTGCACTGGGGATCTTCCTTCTTTCCCCACGTTCCCGTGTTCTGTGTGTCTCCTAGTATGTGAGTAGAAGTCACTTGTCTTCATTCAGTCCAAGAAATCCTTGGGGATAGAGCAATTTGGTTCCTGCCTTCCAGGAGCTTTCAAACTGGCAGTGGAGACATGGATACCAAAAATGTAGAAAACAACTAAGAATGTTGTAAGCGAATTGACAAGGAGACAGAAAGAGGGAGGTTGGGAAGGGTTTCCTGAGAGAGGTGTTCAGGGGCCAAGCCTTGAGGACTGTGACAGAGGACGTGGGCAGAAGTGGGAAGGGAATACCCTTACGGAGTGCCAGAAGGGATCCAGAACTTTCCACATAAATTCATCTCCTATAACCTTCATGATGTCTCTGTGAACCCACCTCTATTAACTTTATTTAGAGACAATTTTTTTTAATGTTTATTTATTTTTGAGAGAGAGAAAAACAGAGAGAGAAAGCATGCGCGTGAGTGGGGGAGGGACAAAGAGGGGGGACAGAGGATAGTTGACAGCAGTGAGCCCTATGTGGTGTTAGAACTCATAAACCCTGAGATCATGACATTCAACTGACTGAACCATCCAGGCGTCCCAAGACAAAATTTTTTTTTGTCTCATTCATGATCAAAGCTTTAAAATTAATTAATTAACCCACACACACATAAATGAGACATGATTCAGATTCTTAGAATAACTCAACACTGAAAAGATTATGGCGCTCCTCCCTATATATAATTCAGAATAAAATAATACATCATACTTCATATTCATATACATGCTAGAGTTAAAATAGCTTATTTTCAGATTTTCTCATAGCTAAATCCCGAGTAAGTTAATTAAAGGGTGACTTGTGTCTGTTTTGTGGATCCCTGCTGATCATTAGGGAGAGCCATGTGGCTGGAGACAACGTCTGTGAAGAGACAAAGACTTCCTAGGACACTCAGTGAAACTTGGTCACAGGTTTATAAGTCCCACACACCTCCCCTGTATCTATGGTGTGTTGTTAGATGAGAAAAGCAGGTTGCAGAGAAATGTATACAGCACGAACCTATTTTTTCCTAACAAAACGCTCCTACATCTATGTTTATAGAAGTTACGTGTTCCTAGAGTGTTCCTTGGGTACTGGAAAGAGATAAAAAGAGGAGGGCAAAACGGTAAGCAGGTTCCTAATGTAATATAAAGAGAACATATATAATAACACAGTTTCATCTACAACATTACCTCAAATAGGTAATCACTAAATGTGCCTAGGAAAAAGTTCCCCCAGGTAACACATTTAAAGACAACACTGATTTGTTTGGATGATGGGGCTGTAGGTAGTTTTGGTCTTTGATTCCTTCCTTTTGTTATTTTAATTTAGCTTGTGCTCTATGGTAAAATAACAAAATAAACAGACAGTAAAGATCTCCCTAAATCTGTGTGGATTACTTGGTACTTGTAGGTGAATGGCCAACAACGACGTAACCTTCTGACCACAGAGGCCCCCTCCCCGGCCTCTGGACTCCCCTCTGTGCTTCTGGCTGGGGAGCTCCTGCCCATTATATTCCCACAGTCCCTAACCACACAGCCCAGCTCACAGTAGACGGTAAAAAAAAGGTGGAGGGCACCGTCTGGTAGCTTGGGAAACTGCCGTGTTCCTACCCTGTTTGAGAGGGGGCAGCGTCAGGCCACCCCACTCCTGGAGACTGTGGCATTGCAGGATGGTGCATTGCACTCCTGGAGAATGATGCATTGCAGGTATTTGTGGATATCCGATTCTTCTGGAGCAGTATAGAATTCAGGTTTGTATGTGAACAGTGTTCATTTTTGTTTGGCACTAAATTGCATCTGAATAGATGCTATGCAGTGGGGTGCCTGGGTAGCTCAGTTGGTTAAGCATCCATTTCTTGATTTTGGCTCAGGTCATGATCTCACAGTTGGTGAGATCACTGGCAGTGTGGAGCCTGCTTGGGATTCCCTCTTTTCCTCTCTCTCTGTCCCTCCCCTACTCATGCTCACTCTCGAGTGCTCGTGAGCTCTCTCTCTCAAAATAAATAAATAAAGATTTTTTTTTAAGAAAGATGTTATGCGAGCCATGATAGACACATTTGCAATCACATGTCATTGTGCCTTGAAGGGGAAAGGGTCCAGTTCAATATTTTGACAAAGGCTCAGGAAAGTTCTGGCATATGACTTTTGAGTAATGGTGGGGTGGGGTGGGGGGTTAGGATAGGCAAACTGAACATAAAGGGAATCACAAAGTCACATAGTGGGGGAGAGAGGTCCCATAAAAAGACGTTGGTGACAACCTTTACTGATTCCCCATTTTTTGAGGGTGTATCTTTTCCTACCTGTATATTCTCTCTTAGATCAACTGTTAAAATGAACTGTGGACCTCAAACATGGAGAGAATCACTTCAATAAGGAGTAAGGACACTCTCTGTCTCCAACCCTAACCACGTATATACATACATCCCACACATCCTAAGTGTGTGGAAACATGGAGTGTTGTTTTGTTCTTTTTATTACGAGCTAGGGATAGGAATGAACTGATGTAAAATACTGTAGTGTGTCATTGCATGTTCTGAATTCCAGCATAATTCAAACACCTCCCACTAAGATTTGTCATTCTGCCTCTAGGCAGGACTGTTCTTAAAGTGTTCTTGACATATCAGCACCTATGGTATTCATTAAGCCCTCCTGGGAATAAGATCTCCTTACAAATACTCAGAAAGTATCTTTCTCTTAAAGAATGAGGTTCTATATCTCCATCAAAACGCTGAAGGCATAACCTTCACTCTGCTGTATCTTAAAGGGCAAGAAAAGTGGGTTGGCAGGTAGGGTGTAGAATGAAGTCTGTGCCAGCAAGTAGTCAAGAAGTATGCCTTATGTACCTCCTGACTTAACAGCGGCATAACCCTCCTCCCCACTCTGTGTCTTCAGAAAAGGGGCAGAGGAATTCTGGAACATCATACTCTATTAATTTTAAACACTGCTGGAAACTACTGCTTTTAAACACCGAGATATTAAGAATTGTTCTGTACCCCAAACAGATATTCTTATTTTAGAAAGTGCTTCTTCACCAACTATCACAACATTCTTTTGCAAGGAGCTAGCTAAGAGGGAGTCAATTTTTTTTTTTTCTGCATTGCAAGTCTGTCTTCTCTGCTCTTGTTCAAGCCAATAACTCATTTTATGCAGCCACAGGCCAAGAATTTTGAAATTTCTGAGTCATCATTCGAATAGCACATTCTCCATGATCCTGAAGACACATTTCTTGATAACATATTGATTACTCTATCCTTAAATGGGTATTTCTGGTACATTGTCTGTCTAGCAGTCATATATTCCCACCTATTTGTCTGGGTAATTTCTGGCTTCAGAAGAACATATGGGCCATATTCACAACTTCTACTATTTTCAGTATTTATCTTTATTCGTCAAATTTCCTAAGTGTTCTTCCCATTTCCCTTCTGTCTTCTTAATTCTCTCCATTCTTTTTGATTGGTAATTCATTTATGGAAAGCTCCAGTTTTAAAGCTTGTGGAATAGACACACTCAGCGATAAGAAAACGATAAATCCACAGGCTAAAGTTTTAATCCTTGCTCTGCCATTATTTAACATTAACAATTTGAATAGGTATTTAACACACCCTTGCCTTAGATTCCCCACTTACTAAATGCAATGAAGGCAGTTTTCTCCCGCTAGCTTAACAAAAATACAGAGGCAATGAATAATGTACAGGAATTACTTTGAAAGTCTTTGGAAAAATCTGTGTTCTTGACCTCACTCTGCCAACAGCTCTGTTTGCAGCCTGTGCAAGTCACTTTGACTGTGATTTCTCCATCTGAACAATCTCAGTAATAATTCCTTTCTCTACCTATTTCACAGAGATGCCCCAGTCTCAACAGGCAATCGTCATGCTTTGAAAAGACAAACACTACTAAGAATTTAAGGCAATGTGGCCCAGCTTCTGGAATAGAAGTAGTAATGAGTGTTACAGTTATCTATGCCCTGTTAGGTGCAGGTACCTGTGTTTTATGTTAATTACGAGATCTCTCACAATCTTTTTACCACCTCTGCATAAAATTATCTGCATTTTTATACGTAGATCAGGAAACTAAAACTTGGTATGTGAAAAACTAATTCAAGGTCAAAAACCTAATAAGATGCAAAACCAGAATTTGAACCTAGTTTTGGAGTATTTTTTTACCTTAATAAATGACGGCTGTTTAGTTATTGTGTATTAATTGATACAAATACAATACAAATATTGTATATTAATTGATACAAATCTTTATTTATGTTTGCACAATCAGTTTTTATTATAAAATTTTTGGAGTATATAGCAATTTGATCTAAATTTCTGAATGTCACCTGTTCATGCATCAAAGAAGATGGTAATGCCAGAAATGGCTTTAGGGCCAAACAAAGTAGCTGAGCGTGGTTTCCAAACTGGGTTTAAACATAGATGCCACAAGGGAGTCTATGCTATATCTAATCTATAGCGATAGAAAGCAGATAGCTGGTTGCCAGGGGCCAGGGTTAGTTAGGGATGGCTTAGAAAAGACACAACGGAACCCTTTGGGGTATAGCAATTATTCTATATCTTAATTGTAGTGCTGATTGCATGGCTGCATACATTTATCAAAGCTCATTTATCTCTATACTTAAAATGGGAACATTTTACTATAGATAAATTATGCCTCAGTAGACTTTATTTTTAAAAGATAGGTGCCATCATCTACTTGCTGCCTGATTAGACAAGTTATTAATCTATATAAGTCTCATACTCCTTCTGTGAAAATGGGGATACTAATTGTACCCATCTTCAATATGTTGGGGAATATTAAATAAAATATGCCATATAAAGAACTCACTATCATGCTTGTTCGTAGGAAGCACTCGACACACACTTACTCAACAAGAACACATGTCAGACGGTGTTCTAGGTATGGAAGATTCAGTGGCAAATAAGAGAAAACGTCTGCCCTTACAGAGCTTATATTCTAGGCTAGGGGAAGCAGACACTAGGCAAGTAGACAAGGTAATGACCAAGATACGGTCACATAGCAGTAAGAGCTATGGAGCCAGGAGAACACTGATGTGAGGGTGTGGCTGTGAGGATGGTGACCATTTCCCTGAGTGGTCAGCAAAGAACCCTGAGGAGAAGTGTCACTTCAAATGAGATGTGGATAATATCAACGGGGCACCTGAGGAGAAGTGTCACTTCAAATGAGATGTGGATAATACCCACGGGGCGCCTGGGTGGCTCAGTCAATTAGCCTCCGACGACGGCTCAGGGCATGATCTCACAGTTCATGAGCTCCAGCCCCACATTGGGCTCTCCCTTGTTAGCATAGAGCCTGGAGTCTGCTTCAGATCCTCTGTCTCTCTCTCTTTCTGCCTCTCCCCTGCTCTCTCAAAAATAAACAAACATTTTAAAGGAATACAAAGAGACAGCCACGGGAAGTTTTGGAGGCAAATGTTCGAGGCAGAGGGGACAGAATGTGCAAAGGAGCTAAAGTGGGAGCAAGGTTCTCAAGGTTCAAATGAAGGGACCAAGGGCTGGGGAGTCAAATCAGGTGTGAGTCTAGAAAGCTCCCTGTCTTCCCAGACACTGGAGGAAGGTGAGCAGGAGGCAATGTGCTCTGATTTCCATTTAGAACAATTTCTTTGACTTTTGTGTAAACCGTGGATTCCCAAAGGCTGAGAGAAGCAACAGGTGAGAAGTGGTGGTGCTTGGATGAGGGGTGGGAATGAGCACTGGTGAAACGTGGCCAGATTTGGGATCTATTTGGAGTAGAGAAAACAGGGTTGCCAACAGTTAGGATGAGACAAGGGATAGAGAAAACATTTTTTGGCTTAAACAACTAGGTCTTATTTACTGCCTTGACATTTACTATATTTAGTTATAATAATTTTTTTTTCTGAGAAGCCGTTTGGTGAGCTTTTAGGTATTCTATCAGAGAGCACTTCTAGGCTAACTACTGACAGTAAAGTGTCTGTATGCTAAGTGCTAGTTTGGGCTCCAACTCTTAGCTTTAAGTCTTAAACTGTCTATTAGGTAATTAAATGCTTATGCTGGAAGTATTTCTGAAATCAGAAGGGCACTTGTGCTTGTGTGTGCATACGTGCAAGCGTGCATGTGTGGGCGTGCAGAGTGTGTTCTTGAGGCCGTGGATATCTGCTTGCGGGACTGACATTCAAGAGCAGAGCTTAGAATTCCTTCTCAGTAGGGTTCTCCAAAGCTGCCCCTTGCTCACCTCACCCCTACCACCCTGCACTTGGCATAATCTTTATGGGACTAAGACTTTGTCCATCTCTGGTTCCCCCATTTCTGTTTTATGTTTCGCAAATGCCCCGGCTCCCACCAGCCTTCCTTGGTTATCTCTGGAGTGGCAAGTGGGAAGATGTCCGGGACATGCCTATAGTTTTAGTTCACAGTTTAGAGTTCAAAGGCTGGAGCTTAATTTTCTCCCTTCAGCAGGGAGGTTCAGAGTCAACAGCATATTAGTCAACAAGCGAAACTTTCTCCTCCACTTCCTTCTTCCTTTGCCATTCTCCCTGCCTCC